TTACACTCTGCTAGACAGATGTACTGCATTGTAGAGAGTCAGTGGATGAGATATGAGAGATTTTCTGTGTCTGTCCTTGTGACAGTGGGGCTGAAAAGTCTGTTAGAGAAGATCCTCAGATGCTGCACCTTGCTGAGGCTTTTAAACTCCATCATTAAGCTGTTACGGTGTTTATTGCTGTTGCCAGTACTAGAGAAGTGAGCCACTGCAGTTGTGTGCAGCAAATATAAACCTCACTTCCATGGGATTTTGCGAAGAACTTGACCAGAGTCCACATTTAAATGTTATTGGGTTTGAGGCCTTTACACTGAAGCGACGAGGAATCTGATGAGTTAAGGTCTGAGCTGTAAACAATACAGAAACAGAGGTCATTTCTTAAAATAACAAAACATTTCTCCTTATAACAATGATACAATAATACAATAATAATGAAATAAATAATATTTATTTTCAGATAAGTGTGATGCAAACTATTTGCATCACACTTATCTGATGGAAACTATTCCCCTACAGTCTCTCTTTAGCAGTGGAACCCACATCGTTTTCCCTTCACGGCTCGTTCTCAGAAAATACTCCTATGTTCTTTTCCATCAGCTGCTAGGCCTCCACCTCGGTGCCCCCCAACCCCAATTCCCCCCAAAGAAGAGGATTCAGGCACTGGCTAGTACTCATCATCAGTGGTAATGCGGTCAGCCTCTTTGTAGATTGTCCCCTCATCTTCTTGAGAGGAGGTTTCTTCATCTTGGGCAGATGTCTTTTCTTCAAGGGCAGATGACTGCTTGCTGTCCTTGCTCTCTGACCAGATCATACAGACAGTGCTTGAAGCAGTGATGACCTTCTTGCCATATTGCCAGAAAAAATGATTTGGAAGCTGTTAGGCTTACTTACAGAAGTAGCAATGTCAGCATCTGCATAAACTCCAGGACACGTTTACAAACAGTGTTTGTTGTTGTTTATTTGAATTCTGCAAAATGTCCTATGATTGTTTCTTTAATTTTTTTGAGAGTTAATATTTTGGGTATGGTATCTTTTTTTTAGAAAAAAAATACAAGAGTAAAAGTGCTTTTAACATGTGCTTCAAAACTAAGTTTGACTGGGAACCTCAAAGCTCAATAGCCTGCATCCACAGAAATTCACTGCAGCCTATGTAATGTTTGATGCGTTATTATTTATTCCAGTCTATCTTGCAAATACGTGTTTGTGCTGCAATGTCATGCACAAACACAAACTAGTAGATCCTTAAGATCAAACCTATGTCAAAATAGTGTCATTCTTTTGGTCCATGGGTGTGTGGTAAGCCATCAAGCACCCCTTAATGGAAACTAAGAATATAAGATGAAATTGCTTGTTTGGCCAAAAATGGGTAAATTATGTAATTTGGTAAAAAAAAAAAAAAAAAAAAAAAAACATTAAAAACTACAATTTTCATGTGTTGAGTTTAGAATGAAAGCAATTTTACCTAAATTGCATGATTTAGTACTGTCAGTGAGAAGAAATCAAAAAGGTGGTTATAATGGGTTTCAACTGGCCAAAAATGTCCACAATAGAGCCAAGAGGAACAATTTGATGTACAGTGTATATTATTCATATATTTAAGGAGCTGAAGTTAAAAATTAAAAAATCTGAAAAAAAATCCAGACCCTTGGGAAGTTTCATTTCATTTGCATTAACATGGTGAAAATGGCTGAAAAAAGAAGAGTGAAGTGGCTACAAATGGCCACCGTAGAGCCCAGGACTCAAACTGTCACTGTGGATACATTACATCACTTGTGTGATCAGTGAGTTCTAGTGTTAAAGCACAAATTAATAGCACTACACCTCTTTCACATGCATGAAATCATAATGCTGCTTGCTAATCAGTTAGCCTTCACTACTTAAATTCCAATTTTTATTCCCTTAATAATGCTATAGAGAAAAAACAAATCCAAAATTCCTTCCATCCTCTTAGTTATGTTCCTGGCCTACTCGTGCTGACCACTGGCTGATAAAGGTGGGTCATCAGCTCACCTAGTTCACCTGGCCTTTCAAGCAATAAAAGCTGGCCCATGCGACTTGCTCTTTCACTGTTTGTGTTTTGTTACTTTGTGTCTAATAAGTAATCTCTTACTTAACCCTTTTCAGGGTTAAAGAAAATCTGCTCGGTTCATTTGAACACTATTAGGTGTGTAGGGCTGTTCTTTAGCATAATCCGGATAATCTCTTGAAAAACAAAAATCAGTTTTGAATGAAATGTACATTTGCTGGAGTTCGGAATGCAGCGCTTTTGCCTGTACTGGAGTAATTTCCCACTGGGGAAGCACGCTTTTTAAAAATGTATTTGTTATTTTTACTAAATGTAAAGAACTAAGTAAGGAAAGACTCCAAATAATAAAGCGCTGCAAATTACATCAAAGTTTTTATTTATTTAAATATTTGTAATAGGTGTTCTGACTACTGAGCAGTACAATGGGTGGGAGTGTTTGTGCCACAATCGGGATCAGTTACTGAATATTGACCTCTCTCTCTTTCGCTCGCTCTCTCACTCCTACACGAGCATGCGCAGAGGCTCCGTTTCTCGGCGTTTCCGTGTTGTTTCGTGTGTCAGCAGATTGAGACGGCTCATCGCGGTTGGTAAGTCTCATACTGCGCTCCGGTACTTGGGTCGGTTCGCCTCTTCCCTCTCTGTCTGGCCTTGTAGCTACTTTAGCTGCCTATTTGTCGCTGTTGCTGCCGTTCACAGGGGCGCTCAGGGCGACGGGGAGAGACGCGGACCGCCGCCTCATTCCGCTGTTTGTTTCCTGAAAGAAGCTGTCGGGACACACTCATTTGGCGCGCTTCCGATCGCGCCTTCATAATAAGAGCTTTTGCTGCAGAACAATATCTTTACAGTCGTCTTTTTTTGCAATAAAAGTCCAGAAACCGCAATAGAGAGTCCCAACAGGGGGGCGTAATTAGACTTTATTTTTAAATCATGCTTTTCTTAAAAATAAAAGGCAGAATTGAAAACAAAAATATTCTATCAAAATAAACTCCTAAAGTTTTTTTGAGCTACATTTTGAGATCCAAACAATAATTATCAGTAAACATAACGAGATCTGTGTAGATTTATAGAACAGGACAAGCACACCTCGAGTGCTTTCATAACTTTAACTTTACTTTGTATATTTTAAACAGAATGTGTTATAAGCTAACTGAGTCACATATAACAATTTAATCATAAGTACAGCGGCTACAGAGAGATTGTTTCACTCTGTATATTAAGAATAAATATAACTGAGTATGCTCACTCAGTTATATTTACTCACTCAGTGTTTCAGTACTTTAACCATTTCAAACTGATGTATACATGAAAATACTCCCTGAGATGAAAAATAATTAATATCTTATAGTTATTATATAAGATTAATTAATATCTTCAATATATTGTCTGTTACATTTATATTTCTGACAGCCACAAATGTTTTTGAGAATCTGATGGGTTTCATTTTCTCAGAAGTGATGCAGTTGCCACCAAATACACGTAGGGTTTTATTTTGAAGGTGAATGTGTGTTGACTTCCTGTGTGTTTTAATGGCGTTGCTTCCTGCCATGATAAAAATGATAACAAGTGTAGTCACAATGTTTTTGTCAAAAATCATTGACAATTAGCTCATTGGTGATTTAGTTGATTCAGAGTCAAAATGCTGGTGTTGATGTTGATGTTTTTGTAGTTGATGTTATAGCTGTTGTGTGAGTTTGGAGTTTAGATCACATGTTTGTCTCTGTGCTCCTTTAAAAGACTCTTCTAATCTTAAATCTTTCACTTTTTATTCCCTGAAACTGAAATTCTAACGTGACTATGAAAAAGTTCATACATTTAATCCACTTGCACTTGACAGTGCAAGTGGATTAACATTTATAAATATTAATGATTTTAGTTTTTTGGATGCAAGATATATTTTGTTTTACTTCATACAGTACTGTGCAAAAGTCGTGAACCACACCTATTTACTTTATATTTTGCTGGGAAAATGGGGGGAAAGGTGCAGCAATTTATTCAGATGTGCAAACATAAATGGAAATACAGTGTATAAGGCAAACACAGAGTTTATACTTTTCTGTGAGCTTTTCACCTTTATTTTTCAACACAGCTTGAACTGTCTTAGGCAGCTTTCTGTAGTAAGTCTTCAGGAATAGTATTTTAGGTTTCTTGAAGAACATTCCAAAGTTGTTATTTAGATTTTGACTGCTGTTTGCTCTCTGTTGACACTGTTTCAACAATGTTTTCTGCAGCTTTAATCTCTTGTCCTTTTTGCACTTGCATCACATTTTTTAGTTAGATTTTTACGTTTTTT